AAGGAAGACGGAAAGACAGAAAGACAGAAAGGAAGGAAGGAAGGAAGGAAGGAAGGAAGGAAGGAAGGAAGGAAGGAAGGAGGAGCAGCTAAAGAAGGACCCCTCACAACCACCCTCCAAAAACGAATTTCATCATTTCTCTCTCCTCCTGCATTTCCCAAAGCCCTGCTGGCCACAGAAACTCCAGATTCTAGCGTGGACCTTGGGGGTGGCTGGGGTGACGGTGTCGTGATCTTGGGTCTGAGGGACCCACGGCTGCCCAGAAATCCCAGGGCAGCTGTTTGTCTAAGGCACGGCCACACTGCCCTGCTCAGGGACGGGAGAGGTCTCAGAGCCCTGCACTGAATCTGACGGGCCGTTTCTTTCTTCTCCAGAGCCTGTGGCCAGCGATGCTCTTTCTGGGCTGTTTCGGGGTCCTGCCCCCTTTTCTGGGTCTCTCTGTTCCTCGGCCCTCTGACCCCGCCTCCCCTCCTCCCCCTTTCTCTGGCACACACTCCCATCATCAGCCAGCGGCAGCCCCGTGAGCATCACATTCTCGGGACAGAATAGAACAGTTCCAGCTCTGCCGTGCAACCCAGATGTGCGTGCGGGGTCTCGGCTGGACCCTTCCCACGCGGGACATGTCTCTGGACCGCCTCTGGGGTCCCCACCTCCGATAGCGCCAACGGCCCACGCTGAAACTGATCCCTCTGTGACCGCAGGGACTGTCCGAAACCCACTCAGGGCTGGCACTGGCCTCTCCCAGATCCCCACCTCGTGTCTGGGACCCCTGTTCACCCTCACTGTCATCACCACATTGGCTCCCCACCCTGCATGCAGCTGCTCTCCTGCAGCTGGGCACAAACCAAAGGACGCAGTTTCAACTCGTCCTCAGGATGCAGAGAAGTTCTGTTCTGCGGCTGCTTGAGAAGACCCCCATAGCGCCCCCTGCTCCCACCCCACCCCACCTCCAGGCCACCATGGCACTCTGCTCACACATCTTCTGCAGTCACCAGCTCTGCCCTCACCGCCACTCTGCCTCCCCCCTGCTCCACCCCCTCCCCTCCCCTCCCTCTCCCCATCTTCCCTCTTCTCCCTCCCCTCTTCCCCTTCCCCCTCCTCCTCCTTTTCCTCTCCTCCCTTTCCCCCTCTTCTTCTTCCTCCTACACTCCTCCTCCCCCTCTATTTTCCCTTCCCCTCCTCCCCTCTCCCCTGTTTCCCTCCCCTCTCCTCCCTTCCTTCTCTCCTTCCCCTCCTTCCCTTCTCCTCCTCCATGTGCCCTGAAGAGCCCAACTCTCTGAGGTACTGAAAGTCTTGGGGGAGCAGTCTCCCATGGGCCTGCCTTCCGTCTGGGGGCCCAGGAGGGGTCCCCTAGGAAGGAGCCTGGCACCTCCCCAGGTGTGATCAGGCCGCGGTCACGATGGAGTTTACAGGTGAGGATGTCCCGAGGGGCCCCTGTGCATGCCCCTGGACTCTGCCTAAATCAAGAGAGGAAAGGGGTGGGCACAAGAGCACAGCGGGGAGGGCATTTGCCTGGCACACAGCCAACCCAGGTTCAATCCCCAGCATCCCATATGGGCCCCTAAGCACTGCCAGGAGGGATTCCTGAGTGCAGAGCCCAGAGCAACTAACCCCTCAGCATCAGAAGGGGCAAGGCTGCCGCAGGCACGGCTAAGCTCTCGCACCTAGTTGGCGACAAGGGAGTGGCTGCTAGTCACAGGGGCAGGTGGGGGCTCCTGGCCCCCTGGGTGCCCTGCGCCAGCCTCGGGCGGTGCTCAGAGTTCCCGTCCGTGAGCCTCACGGTGCTCCTGCAACACATGAGGGCCCGTGAATCACCCAGCCACAAAGGGCCGATTCTGGACATTTCCGTGGTCACCGTGTCCTGAACACAGGCAGATTCATAGGGACCGGACAAAGCAAGTTGGGTGCAGGGGCTGGGGCGGGAAGGGGGCGTCATAGGGTCAGAGAGTTCCAGCAGGCAGACGGAGCAGCGCCAGTGCTGAGGGGGCTGAGCCGGATATTCCCGGTGAGTCTACCAGACAGCGGACAAGTCCACCGTCACACGGAGAAGTATTGTCCCCAGGAGGACACTGGGCTGGCAGTATCCTCCTGGGGACAATATCTTTATTGAGACGCTAAGCCTGGACGCTCCCCCCCACATTCAGACAAAACTTACTTGGACGCCCACCTTGCCATGCTCAGGGACCACTCCTGGCACAGTGCTCAGGGAGCATATGCAGCGCTAGGGATTGAAGAGAGTCAGCCGTGTGCCAGAGCTGTCCCATCGGTCTGGCCCCAAAGCCCACCCCGATCATCTTTCCCAGGACCACCCCAAAGCCCACCCTGAGCGTGCATCCTAGGATTATCCCAAAGCCCACCCTGAGTGTCCATCCCAGGACGGTGAGGCTGCCGGTGTCCTCAGAAGAGAGGGAAGCCCCATGCAGTGCTTTCCTCCTGGTCTGTGCTGTTTTTTTGTTTTGTTTTGTTTTGTTTTGCTTTTTGGGTCACACCCGGCGATGCACAGGGGTTACTTCTGGCTCATGCACCCAGGAATTACTCCTGGCAGTGCTCAGGGGACCATCTGGGATGCTGGGAATCGAACCTGGGTCGGCCGCGTGCAAGGCAAACGCCCTCCCCGCTGTGCTATCGCTCCAGCCCCTGTGCTGGGTTTTGCACCTAAACAACTCAGATGAAGACACCAGTGAGATCAAAAGCAGAGACCAATGAATGAGTGGGCCTGGGGCCGCTGTGGGGGGGAGGGGTGCAGCGCGGGGGGGGGGGGGGGGGTGGAGTTCCTTCCTCTCCACATGCACTTGGGGATGTCATGGCTGTGAGGGGAGCTGAGTATTTTGCATCTTTCCTAGGGTGAGTGCAAATATGGAATGAACTGTTCAAAACAGGCCCAATGGCCATCACCGAGAGAAAAATCGGAGAGCTGGGGGTTCGTCCCTGAGACCTTGGCAGCGGCCTGTGAATGGAGCAGAGAGAAGCCGCTTCCCGTGGGGCTGGGGCGTGGGGGGACAGAGAGGGTCCTGTCCAGGGTGCTATGCACATGTGGAGCATGTCCCTCCAGACCCGGGTGCATGGCTGGACCCCAGCAGGAAGCCTTTGGTAGGGGTCAGCGTGCAAACACTCGGGGCTTTAGTTCTGCACTAGCCACCACGTCCGCCCTGAGTGGGGCTGAGCTCAGGACGCAGCGTCCCGGGCTGCCTGGGGTCTACCGCCATTCCCCCACGGAGAGGAAGTCAGAGCCTGGGTCAGTGCTGGTTCGAGACCCCACCTTACCGGCGCCTTGCAGACCCTGTCATCTGAGCATGGCTTGAGTCCCCAGGCAGAAAGGACCCACGTGGGGAAGCTGAGTCCTGTGTCCCCAGGGCCCTACACCAGCGGCCTCTGAGTACAGGCACTGGCTGACTTCCTGTATTTATTTGGTTTGAGTTCGGGGTCATGCCTGCGGCGTGCACGGGTCACTCCCAGCAGTGCTCTGGGGACCAGGGAGCCAGCCCAGGCCTCCCTCAGGCAAAGCAGCCCCTAGAGAGGTTCTCGGGGTCCACAGGCCAGCCTCAGAGCATGCACCCCTGCAAGCCAGCAACCCCTGCTTGTGTGGACTGAGAGGGGTGGATGAGAGGGGCTTCTGAGCCCAGTGACTGCTCAGTGCAACCTCCCAGGGGACGCGTGAAAACCCCATCGCCTCACACGGGACCGAGTGGCAGCTGGACCATTCCATCCCCTTTCACTGACCTTGGTGGGGGGCTCTGGTTCTCATGTTAATCACGCCCCAAGTGTTCTACAGCCAACTCAGTTGGGGCCAGAGTCATAATACAGAGACAATCGGGCATTTGCCTTTCGCGTGTCCGACTTGGGTTCGATCCCTGACATCCCACAGGGTCCCCTGAGCCCTACCAGGAGTGAGTGAGCACTGCCAGGTATGAGCCCAAAGCAAAACGGAAAAAGAAGATGGGCAAGAGCACAGCGGGGAGGGCGCTTGCCTGCACATCTCTGACATCCCTGATGGTCCCCAAGCATTGCCAAGAGTAACCCCTGAGCATCACGGCGTGTGGCCCCAAAACAAACAAACAAAAAGAGGGAGCACGGCTTGGGGGAGTGGGGACAGAACTGAGCCATCCCCCCTCAGCCCTCCCTGGGGAAGAAGGTGGGGGTGGGGCCCCTGGAAACCGCCTGCTGGGGGGAAAACACACAAAACAGTTCCAGAGAAGTCCCTCCGGGGAAACTGAGGCACTCCCATTGCCCTTCACCCAGGCATGCTGGGCCACAGTCCAGCCACGCGGCTGGCGTCTTGCTGGTGCTCCATGCTCCTCCCCGGGGCCTGGACCCGCCACTGAGTCCTCTCGGGAAGGGCTGGGATCCTCTGTGGAGCGGAGGCAGCCCTGACCTTGGGCTCCAGCCCTGGCCCTCCTGACCAGATGTTCCCATCCGTGGAAGCTCCTTCCTCAGCCCTCCCGGGACGGGCGCTGGGAGGCTGTATAAAGGTGGGTCACGGGAAATGCCCACTCAGCGCCAGCGCCTCCCGGGGCCCAACCCTCAGGCTGAAGCGCTTGGCTTCTCTTTGCAAAAGAGTTCCGGGGTGGGGGGGAGGGTGGTGTGTCGCTGGGTGCCGGCTGGGCCCTTGCTCCCTTGGAAGTGTCCTTGGTGGGTTGTGGACGCGGGTTCCCTGCGCCCACGCGCTGTCCCGTCCTCCAGCCCTCCCCGGCGCACCCCGCCCCCTCCCCTCAACTTCCAGCCGTGCCGCAGCAGGGGTCCCAGCCCGAGTGGCCCGAGGGGCGCCGGGGAGCGCGCAGGAGGAGCAGGGCAGAGCCGGGCGGGGCGGGGAGCTTGTGGGGCGCAGCCGACCCACCGCAATGCAGACGCGGCGAGCCGCGCGCCGGAGCGCCTGGCAGGGTGGGCGCGCTCGGGCCGCCCCGGGAGGTGGGGTTTCCCGGGGCGCTCCCTCCCCCGCCCGCCCCTCCGCCTGTGTCACGGCGCGCCCCGCCCGCCCACCTACCTCCCCGCGCCCGCCGCGCTGGGGCCGCCAGACTCGCGCCCGCTCGGACCGGCCCGCGCGCTCCAGCATCCCCAAGGCCAGTTTTAGCAGCCGGGTGCTGCGGACACTACCGCGGACGCGACCTGCGGGACAGCACCGGGCAGGAGAGGCGAGGCCGGCCCCGCCTGAGCTGCACCCCGAGATCCGGGCACCCCAGGAGCCCCCCGCCACCCGCCTGCGCCCCGCGCGGGGACAGAAGTTCTGGAAGAAGCAGCGCGACTCCTCCAGGTAACGGCCCGCAGAGCGCGTGCCCGCTGCCCCTGAGCCTGCCTCCGGCGCCCCAAAATTCGGGCGAGGGGGTACTCTAGGGCAGGGGCTCCCACCTCCCCCAGCCATGTGCCCAGGGGACTGGAGCAAACTTTGTCACAGGAACCAGCGGGCAGAGGGCGTCGCAAACTTCACTGCCCACTGCCAGGTGACTTGGCGTCCCGGAGGGCAGCCCTGGAGTTGGGGGTGCCCTACTTTTTCAGTGGAGACGGTGGGTGCTGACTCTCCAGGGGTGCAGCATCCTGGTGAGACAGTATAGCAGGCAGCGTGTCTGTATACAGCAGGTGCCTAAACAGAACCAGTTGGAACCTACCAGTTTCACCTCAGGCTTTGTAATGCACTCCAGGGTGGTGAAATCCTATGGGAAGTGGTGGGCCCTGGTTTGGGGGGTCCTGTTGAGGAGGAGAGCGGAGAGAGGCTGGGAAAGAGTCTTAAGGGAAGCCACATTCCAAGCCAGGGCAGAAGGTGGGGGCTGGGGGCCGGGCTCAGCTCCTTCACCATTCTCCTCCAGCAGCCCGTGGCTAGGGGTTGGTTGCGGGCTCCCCTCCTCCTGGCAGGAAGTCTGAATCGCCCTCCCTGGCTGTGGCCCCCCAAGAAAGGAAGAACATTACGGGTTATTGTGGGGGGTCTGGAACCAGGGACACTCACAGCGAACCAGGCTCTGGGGAGCACACCCACAGTACATCAGGAGATGGGGGTGAACCCAGATTAGGGGGAGGTGAGTTTATGATGATGCTTTCCAGATGGAAGGATGCCAACGTCCAGGAGTCTGGGCATGGGGTACCATTAGTCCCAACAAAGAATCCACACCTGAGTCTTTCCCTCTCCCTCTCTCTCACTCTCTCCCCAATCCATTGGGTGGCCAAAGAAAACGGTGATCAGTGAACTATGCCCAAGGCCAGGCTGGGCAGGAACCCTCAGAGACAGGCGCTGGCCTTTTTTTTCCATCAATGAGCCCAAAGATGCCACCCAGAAACGAAGGTGTGTTGAGGGAGTGAAGCCAAGGCCTTTATGGGGGGAGAAATTCACCTAAGCAGAAAGAAAAATGCACAGACTCAAACTTTCATGTGTGTAAATTATTGGAAAGGGCAAATCTATTTCTGAGAAGAGCTAGGATTTGGGGAGTCCAGTGGTGGGTTTACATGAGATGTACCAGGGGCTGGAGTAACAGGACAGCAGGGAGGACGCTTGCCTCGCGTGTGGACATCCCGAGTTTGATCCCTGGCACCTCATATGGTCTCCTGGGCATCGCCAGGATTAATCTCTGAGTACAGAGCTAGGAGTCAGCCCTGAGCACCTCCAAGTGTATCCCCCAAACTAAAAAATAATTGAGGTGTACCAGACCAGAGGGCGGACACAAGAAAGCAAGCTAAAACACAAGCTTGGCGTCCAGGACAACCCACAGTCCCCTCGGCAAAGAGCCGGGGGTCGCCCCAAGGCACTCCTGGGTACAGATAGACCCAACAAGCAAAACGTTTAAAAGAGGCCTGGCATGCAGCCAACCCAGATACGGTCTCCAGCACCCTGAGCCCTGCCGGGAGAGATCCCCGAGTACAGAGCCAGGAGGAAGACCTGAGCTTTGCCGGGGGTGGCCCCCAAAAAGCGAAACATCAAATTTAAGAGGTGAAATAAATGAGATGTATCCCAGGTGAAATAAATGAGATGTAATCCAGCCGCTGGTCCTAGCCAGCCCTGGAGCGCCACTCATTCCTCGGCATCTCACCAGCGCCGCCTAGGGGCCAGGCTCTGCTGGGGCAGCTCCTTGCCTTGGCCCTGAGCTTTGCCGCCATAGGCAGAGGCTTTGCCTCCCCAGGATTCCCAGTGACGACCCTCCACGGGGTCCTTTAGGGTGCGAACAACACCCGATTGATAGAGTAGAAAGTTGACAACAGACTGAGAGTGGTTGCTGGCTCAGGGGGGATGGGGTGTGGGCGTTCCTGTCAGTCACTCCTGCCGTCCTCCCACACCCCCATCCCAGGCAACCCGAAGGCCAAGTTGGGGTTTTCTCCATTCGGTGCCAGAAAAATGGGTAGGGGGACCCTCAAGAACAGAAAAGACGGTGGGGGAGGGGCCAGGTAACCCCCAGAGGGTTCTCTGACTTGGGGGCATTTTGGGGTCCCTGTAAGCTGGGTTCTCCCTCCTCACAGCAGCCCCCGCCACTTTGAAGTCGGGGTCCCAAGCTGTCAGTTCCACATAGAATTCCCCACGTGCTCTGAGTGACGTGTCTTAGCTCGTAGCAGATACCACGTCAGTCATGTCTCTAAGTCTATGGCCCCCTGTCTTTTTGAGGGGCACCACTGGGGGGACCGTGGGGTAGAGGACTGGACACGGGGCCCTCATATGTGAAGCCTGTGCTCCAGCCCCCTGAGCCAGCTCCCCGGCTACCCCTGGGTGGGCTCATGGAGCGAGAGGAGCCCGCTGGCACTCATGTCACCCTGTGGGGACAGGCCATGAGCCCCACTGCGGAGGGGGTGGTCCCTGCTCCAGTCGTTCCAGCTGGGGGTAGGGCCCATTGCCGTGGACACTCCGGCTGTGCCGTGTAAATGCGGGGTCACTGGCATGGCCATCACGCCCACCTGCGACTGTGATGTTGGTTCAGGCAGGTTCGTCTGAGAGATGGGAGTCGCAGGGCATCGCAGGGAGACTTCTGTCCTGGGGATGGCCCTGCCTGGGGGCTCTGGGGGCTCCTGAGCTGACCGGAGGTAGGGAGAGGCCAGGCCTGGCTGTGGTAGATGCACAGGGTGGGTGAGGGGACAGGGGAGTCGTCGTGGGGACTGTGGCCCGCCTGCCCACATGGGGACTCATGCCCTGGGCCCCTGGGGCCTCTTCCTCCAGGAAGCCCTATTGAGTAGGCAGACAGGTCTTGCCCGATGCTGCTGACCCTCCCGACAGGACGCCCCATCTCTCTTGGGGGTTTCTGAGCCCCCAGGCCCATCTGGGCATCCAGGGGCTGCAGAGGAGGGGCCAGGGCTTGATGGAGAGAGGCAGGACTTGCCGGGAAGAGTGAGGAATGGCTCCTCCTGAGAGTTGAGCTCAGGGCAAAAGCAGGAACGGGGTGTTTGCCCTTCTGGTCTCAGCGCCCCCTTGCATGTGGTCATGTGGGTGTGGGTCTATGTGTGAGGGTGTGAGGGTGTGAATGTGTGTATGTGCGTGTGTGTATGTGTGTTTGAACAAATGTGTGACCATCTTACTTATGTGACATGTGTGTTTGTGTGTGTGAGCACATGTGTAAGTATTCATCTGTATATGTGTGTATGTATGTGCACGAGGGTGTGTGTCTTGTGAGAGTATGAACCTGTGTATGTATGTGCATGTGGGTATGTGTGAGTATGTGTTTCTGTGTGTATGTAATATGTTTGTGTGTTTGTAGATATGTGACTGCATGTCTGTGTGTGCATGCATGGCTGTGTGATCGCGTGTCTGTATATGTGCATATGTGCATGTGTGACTGCATGTCTGTGTGTGATCACATTTTCGTGTGTATGTGTGTGCATGTGGGTATGTGTGTCTGTGTGATTATGTGTCTATGGGATTGCATATCTATATGTGATTGTGTCTGTGTGATTCATATCTGTGATCGTGTACCTATGAGAGATTGCATGTCTGTGTGAGATTACATGTCTGTGTGTGCAATTGCGTATCTATGTGATTGTGTGTCTGTGTGTGATTGCATGTCTGTGTGTGATTACATGTCTGTGTGTGATTGTGTCTGCGTGTGACTGTGTGCCTGTGTGTGATTGCATATCTGTGTCTGTGTGTTATTGCATGTCTGTGTGTTATTGCATGTCTGTGTGTGATTGTGTGCCTGTGTGTGATTGCATATCTGTGTGTGACAGTGTGTGAGTGTGTGTCTGTGTGATTGCATGTCCGTGCAGTTGCATGTCTGTGTGATACATGTCTGTGTGTGATTGCGTGTGTGTGATTACATGTCTGTGTGTGATTGTGTGTCTGTGTGTGCATGTGGTCTGTGCGATTGCGCGTCTGTGTGAATGTCTGTGGGCCCGAGGGCCCCTGTGGCAGGCCTGGGTGCATGGAGGCACCTCTCAATGGCCCACAGTATCTGCTGAAGCAGCTTTTTGTGCATCTTATGAATAGGTGGATTGGGGGGACGAGGCTGGGCTTCGTAGCCTGAGGATTTGGTTACCTTTGAGGTCATGTTTTTCCTTTCAGACACACCCAGGAAAGGAACACCAGGCTCTTTGGGGGCAGAGGGAATCTCTCTCTGTAACTGACTTGATTTGGGGGTGCAGACCTGTAGCCTGAGGGTTGCCCCATTCAGTCCCCGAGAGAATGAGCGCCTTAGAGCTTCCCCATGGCTGTGGGGGGAGGGAGGACAACAGGGCAGTGTGGGGCCCTGGGGGGCCAGGGTAGGTCTGGAGGTGCTGCGGCTGGCCTAGGCTTAAGCACCCCTTCCTGAAGACCCGAGTTGCGGAAGTTTTACTGCCCCCCACCCCCGCATCCTACTGGGTCCCCACCCCCATGGTGCAGGAAAGGCTGCTGTCGACCCCCGCATGGACACTCTGCAATGACCAAACTCCCTTACTCCACACTCCAGTGGCACAGGGGTGCCCTGGGCAGACAGACATGACCCTACAGGCCCCCTCCAGAGAGGTCCCGCCCACCGGGGACTCCAGGGGAGTGTGTAACCTTTCAGAAGCCACCCAAGAAAGGATGACACCGCTTCACGGGGCCAGGAGGAGGGGCTGAGGTGCCCCCAGACCTCAGAGCAGCCCCCCAGAGAGACTCGGCCCCAAAGGTCACTGGTGTCAGGTGTGACAAGCTGTTCTCAGCTTCCACTTAGTCACCAGGAGGCCAACCCAGCTGTGTGTAGGCAGAAGGCAGTGGTGGAGGGCAGTGATGGGCAGATGTGGCCATGCACCCTTATACACACGCACATATTCTCTGTGGTGGTGTGTGCAGGGCAGTGGCCGTTGGCAGCCCTGGTTGCTTCTCATGCTGCT